AAGGAAAAACACAGAGGGAGAGCCACAAAGTGGTTTCATTTTTAATAATGGCTGCGTTCTGACCTAGGCTTCCCAAAAGCACGAAGCCGACTCCTCGTCCCGATAAAAACCTCTTCTATTTAGGTTAAAGTGAATTCCTCTCTAGCAAAGTCCCAGCAAACAGTCTTTCAAGAGATTTCACAACTGCAAAGCTAAATTATCAGGCTTGGAGAGTTGCCAGGCCAATATCTTCCAAACGCCACGCTGTAGCAGCAATTACCTGGCAAGAAGTCAGGAACTCTCATGAATTGAACTAATTGTCTCCTGCCAACACCATTCCCCCTTTGCTCCTCTTTATTCCCTATGGGAGGGGCCATTCACCATCCACCTGTGCCTTTATTCCCGAGTCAACCCTTGTTTCTTAACTGTTCCTGTTGTGGTCCGCCGGCGGCCTGCGGAGCTGGCAGCAGAGTTGGACAGTGGAGAGAAACATGAGCCAGTCCTGGAGTCTGGGGAGGACTCAGAATGAGGGATCTACATCTGACACAGAGATGGGGCCAGGGCCATCTGAGAGTTATGTGCTGACTCTACAGCTTCCAGAATCTGACATCAGTGAGGCAGAGGAACAGGGGGAGCCTGTTCCCAGTGTGCGCTTGTGCAGAGCTGCCAGAAGGCAAGAACAGTTAAGGCAAAAGAGGCAACACGGAGTAAGGCTTGGAGATGATTGGGCCTTCCCATAAGACATAAAGGAGGAGCAAAGGGACAGGAGCCTTTGCAGGAAGCAACTTTGTTCGTTCTGGTTGGTTTAAACACTGAAACTCCTTGTTGACTTTGTGCTCTGTATGGCCTTGTACAGCTAATTGGCAATTTAGTCATTGGCAGCATTTCAAGGGAGGTAAAAGTGGGTGTTTATCAGCCTTATCCCAAAAGACTGTGGCAAACTTCTGTTGGACTATTCATAAACTGTTTGGGACTCATTACGGGCTGTGAACACATATAATGCACAGCCATTGAAATAAAAATAAAGCATGCGATTGTTACTGTCTCAGGAAACCTTGGTCAGAACAGTTCCCTTCTCCTGGCAGTTCTGTGCATGCGCACACTGGGAATAGGCTCCAACTGTTCTTCTGCCCCACTGATCTCCGACCGAAAGCAGCTGATAACTATCAGACGGCCCTGGCCCCATCTCTGCCTCTGATGCAGAGCCCTTGTCAGAGCCTTCCCTAGATTCCAGGATTGGCCCATGTTCCTCCCCAATCTCCTCACTGTCTGAGTCTGCCGCCAACTCCACTGGCCACTGGCGGGGCACAACAGGCCATACTGTCCATAACATGATATTGACAATGAGGCAGTATGAATTTGTGAGCAACGTATTAACTTTAAGCTTAGGGATATGATGGTACGTTGACTTAATGGTGCTAGAATTGCCAGCTAGAAGTGGTCTGCACTCTGGCGGTTCAAGCCCGGCACTGTGAAACAGAGTGAGCTCCCATCGCTCAATCCCCATCTCCTGCTACCCAGCAGTTCGAAAGCATGCAAAACCGCAAATAGATAAATAGGTACCACTTTGGTGGGAAAAACCAAGCTGCGTTTGTGTGTGCGGAGCGCGGAAGCCGGTGCTGGACCTGGCTGGGCACACGGCATTGTGACATAAAGTGAGGCAGAGCAAGATTGGCAGAGGAGCCCAGAGCCTGCAATCCGAGCACCACTAGTCAGCAGAGGTAAGATAGTTCTCCCCCTGCAGTGCACCAAGGAAAGGCACGCAAGCACCAAACAGAATGAACTAGCAATTTAGGCTATTGCGTCTAGCGTGTGTACATTCCCTGATGCTGAATGCTATATGCTAAATCAGGGGTGTCAAACTCAATTTCATTGAGGGCCACCGTTTCACCTCCAGGGGGGG